GATGACCGGGAGGGTGGTGGTGGTATGGGGGAGGGGGCGCTGTGCGGTGGCGGCGATATTGTACGCCCACTGGTGTTCCCTCTCCAGATGCCGGATGATGAGCCGAAGGGTTAGGGGGACAATGAGGGCAAGGGCGAGGATAGAGAGGAGGGTGGTGAGGAAGAAGCCCAGAAGGGCTAGGAGTAGAAGGTTGGGGTGCTCGTCGACGGCGACGAGGGTGACGGCGGTGATGGGGGCGACTTGGTTCACCACTAAAGAGGTCAGTAAAGGGGGTAGGAGTGAGCTCGACTGGGGATGTTACTTGTGTTCCGTTGTTGGCCCAGTTGAGAGCTTGTTCGTCGATGGGAGTGGTGAGAGGGGTGGGAGTGTATTCAAGGTGGACCTTGAAGGTGTAGGTGTCTTTTAGGAAGAAGATGGCGAGAGCGCTGAGGAGGGTGAGGAGGGCGATGAGAAACCAGCTGATGATGAGGAGAACGACAAGGATGGTGACAGATGCCATTGAGGGAGCTAGAGGAGGGCTGCTCTTATGAGGAGTCACCTTTGTTTGGTTGCAGGAAGTCTGCCAAAGCATCTTTGGCATGTGAAAGTTCAGATTTCGGCAACCAGGAGTCATCCGAGGGCAGGTAGCCTTTCCACCTTACCTGGTACAGTGTTTGCCTGCCTGCCGTCTTTGAATCAATGATACATTCGATTTCAAACTCCTCCTGGTTCTTGATTAGTTCCGGAGGTGGTCGGAGGTAGTTTTTTCCATGCATTGTTGTTTCCAAATAAGGATAGAGTAATCCTGCATGGAACACAGGGTGGATCTTCCATTTTGGCAGTAACTTCAGCTGATAAACCACCGATGACAACTTCTGATCAATGGTGAAGGGTCCATAGCGTTTTGGTCCAAGTTTAGCCTTTGGGTGGAGTCCTTTGAGGTTGGTGGCTTCCAACTATACCTTCTGTCCGGGTGAGTATTCAACAAACTTGTCCTTATTTCGTTTCTTGACTATTTCCTCTGCTAGTGGAATGCTGGATTGAATTTCCGTTCGAAGATGTGCTAGCTGAGTGAGTCTAGAAGCAATGTCTGGAGCATCTGTTGTTCCCACAGTGGGAATATTGTGTTGGGGTTGGTAACCCATGAGCACCTGGAAGGGAGACATCTTAATGGTGTCATGGTACCGGTTGTTGTGCGCAAATTCTGCTAGTGGCAAGTGACTTGTCCAGTCAGTTGCTTGGTGATTGCAGAAGATCCGGAGGTATAATTCCAAGTCTTGGTTGACACGTTCTGAT